CTTTCCCTCTTTCCTTCTCTCTACTCTCTCTCTCTTTCCTTCCCTCTTTCCTCCTTCTGTGGCCCAACTCTAGTTAGAAGGGGTTTAAACTTTAAACCCCTTCTCTCTTCGCTTACCCCCCCCCCCGCAGGCCGGCTGGGGAAGGGAAGGGGAGGCTTTTGAAGATGCCTTCTCCCCCTTTTGCTTCCCCTTCTGACATCACTTCCGATGATGTCAGGGGGCGTGGCATATGCTACTGAGCTATTAGTAAAGAGCTCCTGCAGCTCTTTTTCTACGAAATGACCCCTGACTACAAGGGTCATGGTGCAGCTGTCCACTGAGTCCACCGTTACTGCACTGTGAACAGCTAGTACATTTCTGTCTCTCCTCCAGTCTGACTGCAGAAAACCAATACCTAATATGTAGTTACTTGGTTGATATTACACTATGTGTGTGTTTTTAAGCCTCTGTAGAGTTTTCATGGGAAAGGTTTACTTTCCAAAGGAAGCAAGTGTCTGAACTTTAAAATGCCATTCTATCCAGTTTGTAGCTAAACTTTGCATGTCAGATCTTCTTTCCCAATCCTCTCCAAAAACCTCTAACACCACCCTCCCGCCCGCCCCCAAATCACTGGTGAATATATGTGTATGTACACATCTAGCACAAATTCTGTTGAAAACATAAACTGTACCCAGAACAACCCAGCTCCCTAGTACTGAAGGAAGCAAGCACACATAAACAGGAAATAAGCAAACAGTGTGGCCATGTCAAGGGATAAACCAGGATGGCAAACGAAAGGAAAACAGAACTACAGGCAGTGACAGTGTGCATCCAAACTGTGGAATTCCATAGACATATGGAACTTTTACTTGGTCCTTCTTTTAACTAGAATTCTTGGCTGAAGTGAGCTTGTACTACTTCTATTACCCATTCTGAATAATTCTCCCCTTCTTCCACAGCACTAGAGCAGTGAGCCTGGGACTATAGTTTTAACCCACTTTCCTGCTGTACTGTCCTGAAGATAAATTTATAAATAGGAAACTCTGGTGCAACAATAGCATCCTGGAAGCAATGTGATAACCTGATCTGCGTGTGAACAAACTCCCTGTTGTCTCTGTAGTATTTATATTACTCTAACTCCTGTTACAAAGGAGATGGAAGTCATAAAGAACTAGCCAAGCAACAAAATTGCACCGCTTGCTAAAACTTGGGCTCAAGGATAAACAGGCCGTGTCCTAAAGCAGGTTACAAGAACACCACTCCCCAGGAGCAATGGTTAGCCAGCTTTCTGAACCATCGGACAATGCCATTTCCCTGTAATGCAGTGGATTATGACAGGCTTGATAGGCAGAGAAATGAGGGGGAGGGAAAAGACACACAAAACCTCAGCTCTTTCATTAACATGTACCAGTGCCTCAGAAATCCGATACCCTAGCAACCTCATGTATGGACATTGACCCAATCAGATTTCAGTTTGCAAGGAGAAGAGAAACAGTATTTCCTCTGCATACAGATTAGCTGCAAAAATGGGTCACTTCTTTGCATTTCAGAGAGGGTGGCCCTTCTTTTTCTTTTTTCCTAGGTCTTTTCATGGAGATTACCAAGCAAGCAAAACAAAAACCCAAAACACTCACCTGGTGCAATGTGGCATTTCCAAAGTCCCGCAGTAAATCAAAGAACTACTTCAGAGTTTTGACATTTAAAAACATATTACCCTAATCAATGTTGTATTTCTTGGAATTCACTTTCTTAGTGACTTACCGATTCTTCTCTAGTTCATTGTGCGTAGACCTGGAAAATAAACCAGGAAAAAATAGATTAGCCACCTGCAGTCCAATCACATGAGAGTCCATTCCAACAATCCATGAATTATTTTTGTTTTCTAGTTACAATGGATCACAGTTACACATTCCACTACATAGAACTATATACTACGTATAAAGACCTAGATACACTGACCTTCCACCTAAGGGACCTGATTCCAGGATCTTTGTTACTTGCTTAACACCTAAAAAGTTAGTTCTTACCAACATCAAACGTCAAACCTGGGAATTTTCCTCCAGCTATAAACACTTGCTTATTGATTCAGCCCACTCTTAAATCTGTGCTACTCCAAAGGTGGAAAAACCTTAGATTAACTAGGGGTCTTTATCTTGAATGACATTAGAAATTAAAAATAATTTTAAAAGTTTAAAATTCAGGATAATTTATCCTAAACAAGCCAGTTCACTGAACTTTTAATTATTCAGAGAGATCTGAAAATTTCCAAAGGCGTTAACGGTTAATGACGCTGTACAGTTTTGTTTTACTAGCATAGATCATTGATAGCATAACAGCTAAGAAAGCAGGCTCTTCCCAAACTTGGTCTAAAATGCCTACACTAACCAACCAGTCTTACTATTTGGAAGAATCTGAGGCCAGTAAGTCTCTCTCACACTAGATTACCTTAAAATGATAACGGGTTTTTTTTTTTAATAAAGAAGATCAGTGTCGCTGTGAATAGACATTAAGCTTTCTGATGCTCAACCAAAATCATCTATCCCTTATTCAAGATACTGCAGAGCATCCTAATGACTGTAGAACTGAAAGTAAGGTCCATTCCAAACTCCGAAGGAAATCATTGATCAAAGACTTCTCAAATGATAGTGCTGGAGGAAGTATTAAGAATCTTCCCTGTATGCACTGACCAAGTTACCTGCCTCACTGACTAAATCTGCTTAGGATACCAGCAAAATCACAGTTCTCCTACCCACTACATAAATCCCAGCCAGACACCCAGATCTCAAACAACAGGATGCTCAGTATGGGGCTACAACTCTATGGCCTCCTGTTGAGCACACCTGGAACACACATGGAGTGACTTTGGTGATGGGAACTCTTGAGAAAGCCCACTTTGCACAACAAGAAATACTTGAGAATGACCACTCTTTACAGTATATTGCCAAGACTGGTCTGCTCAGAACACTTACAAATACTCTACCTCAGAATCCTCCAATGGGGAATGCAAGGACAGTGCCCCTCACTCAGGTAAGTAAGGTGTGGAGATCTCCTACCTCAGACATTGACTGCAAATCTGTGTATTGGCTCCCCCTTCCTGCCCCAATAGTAGCTAGCAGTTTCTCACACAAGGGACAAAGGGTACGCATAAAAGCACATGAAATGCCACCCCTTTACAGATATTCTGGCAGACTATTACCACAGTAACATGCTGGTGTAATCTTACAGAGAAGTGGAGAAGTTAGGAAGTACAACCACATTTTGAGGGGGATATCAGCCACTCCCACTGTGACATGCCTTTTCTACCAACTCAGGGGACCCACACAGGCTCATGATTTTGGGTAACCAGGTTTGTCTTAAACTGCAAGCCTTTGCCTCAGCTACAAAATGTTCTCGGTGAACAGGCTTTGGGTTCACAGTTGTGAGGTAAACGTGGTAGTGAGCAAGTAGAACATGGAGATCACTGAGGCAGAAATTGTATGTAAATAACAAAGAAGATTTTATTTATTTACGTATCAGTTTTAAAGAACAGAACAGCAGCAGAAGTCCCCAGACAAAGGAGAAACCTACCCTGAAAGCACAGAAGTTCAGTGTGTGATCTGAAACAGGCTTTTACTGACTAGCCACTAGGTTGGATCCTTTCACACACACAGGATTCCACCCACACCAACTTGCCCTTTCCCAAGAGTCAGACTAAATGGCACAAGGTCTGCTTATCACCAGAAACAGAGCTAACAACCAGGTACTCTATTCTCTCCCAGAGGTAGAACTAAACCACTCTGCCACACTACTCAGCAGAGCTACCCTTTAAGCTATCTGATCTTTTACTGAGCCAGACATGAACTACGACTGCACTCTCCCTGAGACAGACCTGAACTGAACTCCTTATGTGTTTCCTTCCAAGATTCCATCCCCCCTCTGAAAGGCAGTTAGATGCTGGAGCAGCACTCCCATAGGCTCAGCTGAGTGGCTGTTTTTCCCTTCAGGGGCAGGACAGCCTCCTGTCCATCATACCCACCCTTACTAAAACCTGCCAAACACTCATAACACCTTCTGCCTCCCATGCTCAGAAGACCACAGAGCTGCCCAGATAAGGATGGGAAAGTATTTGCTTAATGACTATACTATCTCCACAAATAGATAAATCCCACTATATGAGACCCCCTGAAGGGGGAAGGAGAAGTTATACGAGCTTGGACACCTACATGGCTCAGTCTCTCAAATCCATAGTTCGCATCATGAGCAGAGTGTTTGAGTCCACTTGCTGCTTGTTGCTACAATTGAACTCTATATATTAACACCCTTGAGATTCTATCGGCTATCTGAAGACAGTCCTCAAACAGCAGTGGTAGCCCAGAAGGACCCCATTCCCAGTGCAGTGGTAGCCACTTGCTGAGCCTGCATCATAACTGACAGCTGCAATGGACAGTATCCATCCAGCTGCTTGCTAGGGGGTTGCCAACTTCTAGCCTGGCTCCTTCACTGCTGTAAACATGTATTATTCCACAGCACTGTAGTGCTTTGTGGCTATATAGTTCTTTTTGAAACCATGATCAATACAGGATTCAAGCTACCCCAGAACATACCATTTCTCAGTGTGGCGAGTTGTCTGTGGGGCTATAACAGGGGTGTCAAACTCATTTGTTATGAGGGCCAGATCTTACATAAATGAGACCTTGTTGGGCCGGGCCATGTGTGTCATAAAATGTAATGCCAGAAAAACAAAGATTTTTTAATTTTTAAATAAAACATGCTTAAAACACTAGCACTCTTGCAATATTTTGTCTATTTAACAGTCTCTGATGACTGACACCCCTGCTCTAAATTATTGCATCAAAATGTCTGTGCTGTAGCAATCTTGAGTATGCTGTTCAGGTGTGCATCTGTAAGCTGCAAACCTACATTTGATTTATTGACATTCATTACAGAAATCTCATGCTCAGTGTTCCTAGCCTAGGACCTGGGGAAAACATGAAATGGCTGGGCATTGCAACCTTTTGTACATAAGTTGCTTCATGTGCTGGTCAATAACATGAGAAGGCATCTTAGCACAGACTAAGGGCCATATGTTAGTCTACAAAACTACAGTCTTCCCCAGAGAAATAACAACAAATTCCTACAAATGTGCTGGATGAACTTGGTCTAGACACACACTCTCAGCCTAATCCACCCCACTGCTTTCTTACTGAGAAAGACTGGATCATGAGGGCATGAATACTTTCCCACAAGTACTTTTTTCCAATGAACTAGCTGTGACTGTGCAGCTATGAATTCTCTTGTTGCTGTCCCAGTGTCTCCATTCCCCTCTACCTTGGGAGGGGGGGGAGTCTTTGAGCAGTATTCCCAGCAGCATCCCTGAGATCTGAACTCTTGCTTGGGATTTCCAAGAGGACGTCCTCTGCTAAGCGAATTCCTTGAGAGATACAGCTGGATTGACTATGCTTCCTTCTATTTATGTACATCTGTAAAAGAGATATCTCCTTGCAGGAAGAGATTCAAACATCCCTCTGAGGAACCACCACAAGTGTGGGAGTTAGAGGGCAAGCCATAGCCCTCCTTAGGCTTAGCCCTACTGGACATGACATAGCCCTCCTTAGATCAGAGGGTGGTGCACTGTCTTTGTTCTTCCCCTTGTCATATTCTATATGTGAGTGAGGTCAGGATGAAAAAAATATTAGCATGACTGGTTGTGCTGCTTCCATATATGACTGACGCGGGGACATGATCGCATTAAATTTTGTGAGTGGTAGATGTGGGTGATGTTATTGACTACAGTGCTGTTACTATGTTTTCAGTGTCTTAGTTTGGTCTGTTTTGCAACTTCTTTTCTCTGTAGAGAGAGCATAGGATACTGGTTAACTACACTGACACTGCACCAGCAAAGCACTGGTATTCAGGTCTTAGGACTGAGTTGTTGTAGGCAGTTTCCTGCGTTCTGGTGGAGAGACATTGGGCTGCCCTCCCACTGTGCAAATTATTACAAAACCCTGAGCAAAGTATAAAAGTGTAAACAAAGCAGGAAAGTACCTTGGCCATTTAAAAAACTTGTACTGACCTATGTATATTCTGCTAAGGATAACTCACATTTAAGAACACGGTCGCTGGTGGTCACATGGCATAAGATAATGGCGTATTGGAAATAAGAGCAGAAGACAACAGAACCATCTCTTCAGACTTAAGGGAACAGGGAATTCTGCTCCACCATTTCGACATACTGTTGACATACTGCCTACAATGTCTGCCTGAATGCACTGATATCTCACAGCTGCATCCAAATCCACTTCTTAGGTTGGCCCTCCAACACTCTTTGGTTGTCAGGATGTCAGACACAGACTTTCAATATGTGTTTGGAGAGAAATTGTTGTAAAGAGAGAAATGCATTTATGAATGACAAGGACATTATTTAATGTATGCTAATCTTCAGGCAACGTGCTGTAAAATACTACATTTTTACTACTGAATAAAATTAAAGAAAAACTATAATCTTGCCTATGTCCCTGTGAAAACTAAATGAAATGCCTTAAGCTGCACATCAAACAGCAGTATTTAAAGAATACAAAGAAAATATTACAGTGCTGTGAACTAATGCATTTAAGATCTTGAAGCTATCCGTATGTATGTCTCACCAGACCATTATTATTATTATTAGGTTTATTTACTGTATACTGCAGGAACTGCCTCCCATCCCCTTTCCTGGCAACTCCATTAACCCAAAGATATGCAAGGGATTGAATTCCTATGTTATAATCAAGGCAGTCATCAAGGTTGGCGCTGAAAGAACAAAGTTTGGCCCA